TACATCAGTAAACCACTATTAGAAGTCTGGAAGCAATCGAAGGCTGTTTCACCCTAGTATGGGACTCCCTAACAGTGCACATCCACGACCTTTGAAGGTGGGAATTCCTGGAGTTCAAGTGAGAAGTTGTGAACAGTGAAGTCCAATCCGTGTTGGGTGCGAGACAGTCATCCACCACAGGCGATGAATGAATGGTTTCGAAAGATCATGGATTGATTCAAGTTGGAAATACTGTTAGATGCCAACTTAGTCGTATAGAAGTTAGGCATTCGCGCTCGAGATCGATGATCACGGGTTCGACTCCCTCATGTGGATTCGTTGACGTGCACTGCTGAAGAGTCCCTTACTAGGTTCAGTGAATCCAGGTTTCTGATGATCATTTAGCTAAGAACAGTTCGTGATCTCAATTATGAAAAAAAAATGTTATGCAGCCACCACACCCCGCTTTCACTGATGTCAGAAAACTACCAATGGAGTGGCGTAATACATTGCAACAGGAAGATAAAAGACCTAGTTCACATGAAAATGGTTCAAAATGTAAGAGTTTAGACTAAAACATAGTTATACATGTATACAGTTATAGGTAAACAGGGCTTGGTATAGATAGAGTGAACCAGTTTAAGTTATATGACTTATAGGTTTAACATCCATACTCAAAGATGATGCTTAAACCGTATACCGTTAGTCTAGTCAAGAGCACTAAGATGAATGAGTTTAATTTTTGATTGAAATGAATCCTCACTGTAATTAAACGATATCTAGGCTTAAATCATATTTTATCGGTCCAAATTGTGTTGAAGAATATATGATTGTATATTAATTATTTATTAGATTTTTTGAATATGCATGTGTATGTAATATTTCTAAGGTAAATAATAATGAATTCTCTGTAAATCAAACCATACTCAAATTTATTTAAGTAGAAAAATCCACTAAGATTGTGTGTGTGTGCTGTAGACATTCTATCAACGTTCCTCACAAGTTTATATATCAGGGTTATTAACTTTATTTTGAACATTCAATGAAAATGTAATCATCTAGTAGTTTCGATCATTTATCCCCTCTCATTTGATGGGCGTGTTAGATATAAGTGCAATATGTACCAGAGATTAAATTTCAGTCATTCACAGCTATTCACAACTGGACACTGTAGTTCAGCATGACTTACCAGATGAAACTTAATTGTGAGAAATAATTTCATTAACTTTTGGATATTTATTAACTTTTTCTTTGATCAGTCCGAAAATTTATTCAGTATTATTTATTGCAGCCGTCTCTCCCATTGATTTTGCCTCAAGCTACCCACAACTGCCAATGGTCATTGAGAAAAGTTGTTGTCAATTTAAATTTAAGTTTCCTTTACTCCTGATCATGTTTGGAGCCCGGAACGATGCATTTCCGAACCTCTGTCAGTTCAATAAATGCTGTCGAAATCTACCAATCTCTCTTAAACATTTGTTTATAGTTTGTGCAGCAGTTCACTTAGTATGGGTTTGAAACATGGCCTTTAAAAGTAGAGGATTTTCACAGGTTACTAGAATGTGATGGCCTATTTTCAAAGTATTGCTTCTATATCATAGGATAATAGAGTTAGCAATCCTCATATCTAATGTTATAGCATTACGTAAGTATGGATAATCAAGTGACGAGATGATGAGTGTTTACTGATTGAGATGGTTGGGACATGTTTTGCGTATACTCATCCACCAACTACCATGACAAGCTACGATGGCTAGTGAAAGAGTAGGTTGGTAGAAAGTTAAGAGTGACCAAACTAAGACATAGCATCATTCTATGAAGAAACTGACTGTTGAACTGAATGATGTAGGCAGATACAGGCTTCCTGCTTCGTAACTAGAGTGACTCGAGATTTTGAGTGACATGGCTCAAAATCATTGGCAATGATTCATAAATACTTTTTATCTAACTGATTTATTTATTCATTTTTAATTTTATCTCATATTCTTAATTCTTTCTATTACTACTATTCCTGTTACCATCTGTACTACTCTACAAAGTGTTATAACAATATCATCTTGCTGCGCTAATTATTAATGGGATATGGTAAACTGGACCAATGTTCTATGTTGTGTTTGATTGACTAACTAACTGGATTTTTTTACATAATTCATTTAATGTGATAGGGACAATTCAGAACGAATACTTATTCCATAATAATACCATAATACTGATATAAGTAGTCAACTTTTAATCTGTAGTACCCCAGTATGTAAAAATTCAAGTCACTTTACAGTAAATCAACCCAGGAAGAAAGGAATTTGATCAGATGGAAATCTAAGTGCGATAGATATCATTCCAAATAAATAAAATGAGATTATCGATGACATTCAACTGAACAGTTGAAGGAATAAGAAATGGAAATAAAAAGCTGCAGAGTATTTTTGAGACAGATTTCGAACTATGTTACTCAAATTAACATTTGAAGGCATAGATTACAACATCATCGAATTGTAAGTTTCAACTTCTCAACATGATTCAACACGTCAATAAATAATTGTACTATAAGTGAATAGTTTTAGAAACTTAGATATTTCTACACCGACGTTTCACCGGTGATGGGACGTACAGTGAAAGTAAAGAGAACCTCCTAATCATTTGAGAAATTGGAAAAATTAGATGATTTCCAAGTAATGTGGTTTCCCTTTATAAAGATCATATTCGACAACCTAAACAATGTTATGCTATAAGATTTGGCTCCACATCATGTGAAACGATACCACTGAGCGGGCAACAATGGAATTTGGTTGATGGAAATCGACCAGAAGTATAGGATTAGGAAAAACATAATATTCAATGACCAATGATTTGTTCAGTGATAACGTCTAAGAGCATGAAACCGGATAATGTAAGATCCAATACCATGGTAGATATCAACTCCCTCAAGATTGAAGGTACACCTTGTTGACAAGTAATGCCATGTAGCACGAAATTTAAGTCCGGAGTTTCTCGTCGACTTCTTCCGAACACCAAATTACATTGCTGAAAAGTGCATGAAATGTCGAGTCACTTAGATTAGTTCTCGCGTTAAATCTTGATCGATGGAATCTGATTAGCATTAAACGGGACTTAATATAGATAAAACTGAACATTACTTAGTGTGTTAAGTCTTCTTCTGATCAATTTGTTTCGATACCATACATCCTAACTAATCAAATGAAGGAATATTTTGAAATTTTAGAAAAGATTATCAAAGTATTCAATAAAATGCATAACAGAAATAAGCTCAAAGTTCAAAATGCAATTTTGATATATATGTAAGCCATTGTGTTAATAAATAGACGAGCTTACATTTCAGAAACCAAGATAAAGTACTTCGATTGTTATAATCACGAGTGCGTGTGTAAGTATACTCAAAATACAGAAAAAAAACAAATCAATAACGAATGTACAATCGCAAGTATAAATAAAAGGGTTTTTTAAAATTAATATTACTATTACTAGTAACAGTAGCAGTAATAGTCAGCTAATATGTCATTTATAATAAGTCAGTTTAAATAGCGAAAAAGAACACACTCATACATAATGTATGATGCCTGCATGAAAAGTTTCCATTTTCAAAAACGAGAACTTATTATATAATAATAATCACAAATAAAGACAGTGAATAAATGACAAAGAGGATGATGACTGTTGGGGCTTAGGTCACGTGAGAAATATGCCAGCAAGACATAGAGAGAGGGAGAGAGAGTGAGACATAGTCAACAAAATGGCACATCATCACAGTTTAATCAATGTTTATGTCAGAATAATACTAAATTGTTTCATGTGATCAGAGAAATGACTTTCTGAAGATTTGTGAAATGATCTGTATTGTCCTTACAGAACGACTTTAGAACGACCAGTGAAAACCATAAAGCACTTAACAGTACGGTACTACTACTCCTTAGCAGCGCGCATCCACGACCATATCGGAGATGGAAGTTAGGATATTTCAGGTCCAGAAGCATTGAGTTGGAATGGAATCTACTACACTGAATTATAAAATCACTATTCATGTCAATGATCATAAGTAAGAGTTTATGAATTCAGACGATATAAGTAAGCTTTGTAGTTTCTTTGAGCGATATACCAAGGTGATAGATTTATCATTGGAGTTATACAATTAAGTAAGTACAGTGAGATTGCAATTTATAACTAAGGGGCTAGAAAATCAAACAAATTACTCTTTAATTAAAGTAACGTTTTTGGCAAATCTCAGTACACAAGAGAAAAGTTTCTTTCCCATCGGTAATCCGTAATCACATCAAAAATGTAGTTAGTTTTAAAAATACTGAATAAATACAATAACAGAATAATATAGTAGGTTGTTAAAAAATATTCATGGTACAGCAAAAAAGAGATGAATAATCTATTTTACTACTGTTCATTTTGATTCATATCACTCTTAAACGGTTTACCCGGAAAATACATTTGATAATAATCACCAAAAAATATTTATTTCACATTAAAATGATACTACACATCAGTAAGTTTTACCTTTTAACCTCATGTTAACTTTTTTTCCATTTCAGTAAGTATCAGTAACTCTTACTCAAATATTGCGGTTTCAATTTGATAACATAAAATCGATATCTATCATAAAAAAAAAGATATCTAAACAAACAACTTAATAATCGAAAATCAGTAATTTTATTAATCAAAGCAATGTTCATGAATCAGTCAGAAGATAGGTAGGTAATAAGAGAACACACTTTATAGTTTCAAAAACACTACATCTCATTTTAAATTTGTTTAAAAAAACACTGGTAAATGCAGCCAACCAACCAACCAACCAACGAACCAACCAGGCATTCAACTTCAGAGGGACTAAAATATTTGAGTGACATGATAAACCGCGATTAAAATATACTGAAAAATAATACAAATGAAAAAAATTTCCACCCTTTTCTGTTTTTATTTACACTATGTACAGAAAAAAAAATACAACAAGTACGCCAACACACACACACAAACACGCAAACACACACAAAAACACATAATTACACTATACCTGCATATTCATCTAATTCTCCATCATCTTCACTTTCATAACGTACACTGCCATCGTTTAAAGAATAACGACTTGTTGCAATTCTTGGCTCTTCTCTATAGAAATAAAAATAAAATAGATGATTAGTATTCATATACGGAAATCAGCACCGAACGATAATGGGAAGTAATTTTAAGGAGGTTGTTGAATTCGAAACAGGAAAACAAGAAAATAAACACCAGATAATCTATATCACAGACTGAATTTGATTACAGTTCAATGTTCAGACTTTCTTTACAGTTTGTCTAAAAGAAAGTCAATGCATTATAAAAAAACTATTTGGAAGCTAAAAAAAATATCTCTTGATAACAACAGTATGATTTTATGGGTTGTTCAATATTGATTTATTGAGAAAGCTATTCTGAAGTTGATAGTAAACAGTTGAGATCATTAGAATTCAACAATGTTAGGAGTAAGATAAGTACATTACCAAGGGCACTGAGTAATAGCAATACAGACACCACTCTATATACAAACTTAGATCAGAATCATAAAACCTCTATGTTCTATAGCTAATAAGATCATGGATCTGCACTGCTGAGGAGTAACATATTAGGACGAAACGTTTGTCTAAATACTGTTTTTTTCAAAATGCTTAGATAACTAAACTAAATCTGTAAAAAAAATGCGATGGTAGGTAGCCTACATCTACTAACATGACTCAGTCCACTTGTTAGGGATTTCATGGATTTCTGCCATGATTTGGTTTATCCGCTTAGCTTTCTACAAACCTACTCCCACACCACAAAACATGGCTCGTCGCGGCAGTCGGTGGTTAGGCATTCGTAACACATGTCCCAACCACATCAAATGATGAAGTTTCACTACTTCATCAATTGATCTACCATCCCTACCTAGTACTCGTTTCCTGACTATGGCATTGCTTACTCGGCTGTCCCAGGATATCCAAGCAATGCTTAGAAGACATCGATAATCGAATACTAATAGTCGACGAATGTCATCTACTCTCGCCGGACATGTTTCGCATTCGTATGGTAGCATGGAGCAAACTGCTGCGCAGTACATTCGTCCTTTGGGTAGCAAACGGATATTGGAACTCAACTGATAATCGCCGTAGGATTCCATCCCACATCAACCAGTTTCATAGGCCTAAACGTTGCCATTAAAAAAGTCGTGCTGCCATTGACCTTGTCTGAAACTGAGATATACATAAATGATTGGTCATTCTGTGATAGTATCCACAGGTCAGATTTCCTTAACCACTAACTACTATCAATTTATTATCTCCAAACGAAGTTATCAATCAGATTCACTAGGTTATTAATTTGTTAAACAATCAGGACTGGTGTAATTCAAAATGTCACAGATTCGAATCCCGTGATAACTTAAAATTATATATATATATATATATATATATATATATATATATATATATATATATATAAATCTTATTATAACCCACTGTTATTGATGTAGACACACACAAACACACAGACCTACATATATATATATATATATATATATATATAAATGCCAAATTTTAATTTGACAAATTCAAGCCAAAAGAAAACAAGACCCCAAAATATATAACCAACTTATATAGTAAGGTGAATTATGTGACAACGGCTTATGATAATCGTCAAAACAAAACAGAACAAAAAAAAAAACAAAATCAGATTCCAAAAGTTCAAAACTCTTATTTGCTTATTATGATTATTATTATTATTTGTATTGTAATCCGTTTTGGCATTGAAAATGATCAATAACAATTTAATATTTTTTTTAAAAAAAAACAGGTTATTATTGTTATATATATAAAGACAATGAATCTCATCTCATAAGTGAAAAAATTGTTTTGATTTATTAAACAGACAGAACGATATTCTATTGGTTCGTTTGATCTGTTTTCCAATCATATGACTATAAAATGATTGAAGTTCCTTTTATTTAGGGATTTATTATTAGAACCATTTTTACTAGGTTGAGACTTTAAATGTGTGTGTGTGTGCGGGGGGGGGGAGGAGGGTTAATTATATCAAACTGATTGATGAAAGTAAGAAGTAAGCAGTATGAAGTTCAAACCTATTTTAATTGGCGAAAATTTGAAATGCTTTTAACCTGTGAATATCAGTATTGTAGGACGTCTTCTTTTTATAAATGGTAAAACGTGGGAAAATTGATACTTTGTCACAATCAAAGATAATTGGTTGTAGTAGCTGTTTAACATCGAAGCTTTTAGATCAGGGGTTCAATGTTTAAATACCTACATTAATATAGATAGCTACAACTATTATTCTCACTAGTCATTACACCTGAAGTACGGCTTAAAGTAAGCACGGTATCCAATGGACAGCTACGACGCAACTGGACGATCTGGACTTCGCAGATGACCTGACACTTCTATCACACACACAACAACAGCAGTAGGTCTCAACATACGTAAAGGGAAAAGTAAGATTGTACGATACAACACAACATGTGCCAACCAAAACACGCTTGATATAGATGCCTTGGAGGGCGTTAACACCTTTACATATCGTGGCAGCATCTTCCACAACCAAGGTGGATCCGATGCAGATGTGAGGGCGCGATCGGCAAAGCAAGGGCTGCATTTCTACAATTGAAAAATATCTGGGACTCCAAACAAATATCAATCAACACCAATACAAACGTAAAGTCAGTTCTGCTGTATGGAGCGGAAACATGGAGAACTACCAAAGCCATCATCCAGAAGATACAAGTATTTATGAACAGTTGTCTACGCGAAATACTTCAGATTCGTTGGCCAGACACCATCAGCAACAACTTACTGTGGGAGAGAACAAACCAGATTCCAGTGGAGGAGGAAGTCAGGAAGAAGCGATGGAAGTGGATAAGACACACTGCGAAAAGCACCCAACTGCGTCACAAGTCAAGCCTTCACAAGGAACCCTCAAAGTAAAAGGGAAAGAGGAAGGCCAAGGAACACATTACACCGAGAAATAGAGAAAGACATGGGAAGAATGAGCAAAAACTGGAAAGAACTAAAAAGGGAAGCCCAGGACAGAGTTGGTTGGAGAAAACTGGTCGATGGCCTATGCTCTATTGGGGGTAACAGGCGTAAGTTATTAAGTATGGCTTAAGGTTGACTAAACACACACACACACGCACATCTACTTCATAAACTGATTAGAATCATTTGAAATAACTGATCAAGATACTTTAGATATGTGCATATATGATTCGAGAAAGCCTTAGTGATAAACTTCGATCAGTAGGATTACAACAGGTTGAGTGTGAGTCGATTTCTTATAAATAGGTAGAGGAAGATGACTATGCAATATGATATTTGATAAAATCATATGACCTACATTAATTAGAGGTTAATATTATCACATGTAATGGATTGAATAGAGAGAGAGAAATAAGTAAACATGTGAGAATGACAGTATTTGATTACTTTTCACTGTGATTGCTATTGTGAATGCATCACAACATTAGATTATTTAAGATAAAACTAATTGTAATTATCCCATATATTACGTATTAGATTGAGCTTTTGAAGTAAAACAACAAGACATGTTGAAATGTAAAGAAGGGAAGTTGAAAAGTTCTACCAATAATAATCATTTTAATAGTCACTAACAAATAGTCGTTGTTGTTTTATGGTTAGCTAAACAACTACTCAAAGCAATAAAGCACCGGACAGATGTTTCATCCTATTATGGGTAATCCTCATAAGTGATTAAGAGAATTCAAGCATCTGAGATATGAAGCAGTGAACTACTAGAGATACTGGACAGTTGTGCGATATCCTCAATCGATTGAACTTAGAAATACAAAGTACTGAATGCTTACTCAGTGCTCTAAAAGCTAACTGTTAGGTTCGTGAGTTTGAAGTTTTGAACTCGATATCCATCTGGACTTTGATCTGTTTTAGAGTCCTATACTCGGATGAATCAGTTGTTCCGTGCTTCTAGGTTTATGAGAAGTTGTCTTACAAACGTCAGTTGCTGACGGCAACCATAAAATATCTCAGATAACTTCATCTGATAAGCCGATGTACAAATGTGGATGTGAATGGATTTAAAAGGTATCACGGATACCGAGGAAGGACTCGAGAGTTTAACATGGGAATTATGCAATCCATAAATGTCATAGTTGACACAGTTAATTTAATGTTATAGTTTAGAACTAAAAGCTTAGATTCCATAGCTAGTGTCGACATACATGAGCAGACCAGTCAGTTAGAAAGTTGCCATGTAACATTAGAAATTGTAGATTCAAAAAAAAAAGAGCAAGTGATGATAGGATTGTGGTGAATTCAACTACACAGGCCTCATTGTGCACGATTGATACATTTCTAGAGAAAGAATGCAAACTATTATTTGTAATAAGCATTGTTCACTTTCAGCAAGTCAAATAATACCACTTAAAAAAGAATATTAAGTCATACCAGATTGATTATACACAACATGCACCAACCAAATCACTCTTGATGGAGATGCCTTGGAGGACGTTAACACCTTTACATATCTGGGCAGTATCATCGACAATCAAGGTGGATCCGATGCAGATGTGAGGGCACGGATTGGCAAAGCAAGGTCTGCATTTCTACAATTGAAAAATATCTGGAACCCCAAACAACTTTCAACCAAAACCAAAATCAGCATTTTCAATACAAATGTCATGACAGTTCTACTGTATGGAGCGGGAACTTGGAGAACTACGAAAGGCATCATCCAGAAGATACAAGTGTTTATTAACAGTTGTCTACGCAAAATACTTCAGATTCGTTGGCCAGACACCATCAGAAACAACGAACTGTGGGAGAGAACAAACCAGATTCCAGTGGAGGAGGAAATCAGGAAGAAGCGGTGGAGGACACACTACGAAAAGCACCTAACTGCATCACGAGACAATCCCTCACATGGAACCCTCAAGGCAAAAGGAAAAGAGGAAGGCCAAGGAACACATTACTTTTCCGAGAAATAGAGAAAGATATGAGAGGAATGAACAAACATTGGACTGAACTGGAAAGCGAAGCCCAGGACAGAGTTGGTTGGAGAAAACTAGTGGGCGGCCTATGCTCAATTGGGGGTAACAGGCGAAAGTAATTAAAGCCAGTGAATCAATCATTTCACTAAACCACATCAAATATGAATGTAAATCCTGATAGAAATCATGTAATTTTTTGTATGAATTCAAAGGTATCAGCGAAATTGATAGCTTGTTAAACAGTTAATAATTGTCATTTATGTTTAATAAATATTAACAGTGAATTGTGAATTAGATAAAACTTGACATTTGAAAATGAAACATATATAATATGGTGTTCTATAATCAAACTGGAACATGTACTTCGGTTGAACAAACAAAAAAAAACTGATTTATTTATAAATGAAGAAAATGTTTGTTTAATGAACTTCATTTTTAAAACTAAATTATTTGTCTATGTGACCTAATAAAAAAAAAAGCCAAATCGAATTGAGTGAATTTTATTAAATTGAAAGTTGTTATTTCTTAACTTTTAATTTAAACAGGCATAAATACTTCTGTGTCATATATTGTCCAATTGAGTACAAGTGTATACAAGCATAGACAATGTAAAATTATCCGACTTATGCAGCAGCAGCACGAATTTATGCATCACAGTGTATGAGTATGCACTCCAATGAATTCTATTCTTGTTGTAATCAACACACACACACACACACACACGTACTTATAAACATACAATTCAATTTATTAATAATTTGTTCGCCAAAATAAATAACATTTTGAACAAAAATCTAATTAAGTAGAATATTAATTACTCTGATTGATTGATTGATTGATTGACTACACACAAATTCAGGACTAGAAATGTTTGCACACACCAGTGTGTATGTGTGTACTACGTATGTGCGATGTCTATTAACAAAGCTACTCCATCCAGGATAACATACACGATTCATATTACAACTACAACTACAACAACAACAATGGTGAAATAAAAGAATCCAGAGAAAAATGCAAACAACATAATTGTCTGCGATGCAGTGTCGAAAAACTGCCGCTGCTGCTGATGGTGGTGTCACAATTTGAATGATGACTCAGAAAATTGTGTCTTTCATTGTTAAAAACTATACAAACAGACAGAATATTGTAACAATCATCATAAATGTGTATTATTATTATTTACTCAAGACTAAAAAAAAACAAAATACGAACCGCTTGTAATAATAATAATAATTAAAATTGTTGTGTGTATCCATAAATATGAACGTGTGCTATTTGTCTCTGTGTGTATGTGTGGTGTCCAGTTAATGGATGAAGACAATCGATGAAAATGGTGAAAAGTGTATGTCTTAAACTATTTACGATGACTATGGGAGGGAGGAAGGAAGGAAGGCAGTGAGTGAATGAATGAATGAATGAATACTCTATTTTAAATCTTATAGAGTACACAACAATCAAGGGTGTTTTTTTTTTGCTGTTTCACTGGATGACTATGTGTTCTTGTAGACAAGAGCAATTTATTAGATTGATTCAAGAATAGAACATAATTCATTAAATAAACCAAAATGAGTTGTCTAATAAAAATAGTTTGTCAATAAATATCATAGAATATGTCTATATAAAGTAAACAGTTACAAAGAGAAAAAGAAACCATGAGATAATAAAAATGAGTAATATTGTATACATGAAGTAACTATGTTGACTTTTTTGAAGATACACAATGCACAATTATGAGTCATGAAGTCAATGATGGTAGGATTGTGAAAAGCGAACACAATGTACACCATTAGAGTACATAAATTCACAATTGTGTATATGTTCCAAACGAAAAAGAATATAATATATATGAACAAGTGTTAGTTTAAGTAAGAATGTCAAACTTTTGAAATTGTCCCAATTGAAATTCTAATTTATGAGTATTTGTTCTGAAAATAGCAACTATATATAATTGACTGACTATATTTATCTGTTTGTAAGCCTTTTTCCATCTTGGTGTATAAAACTGTTGTACCTTGTTGTATGGTCAAGAATGTTACTTATTTACTCACGGCTGTTGGTCCTGTTAGCCTTCTTTTCCAGTTCTACCTAAATGATGTTCATTCTTTTTTTATGTCTGCTTCCGGTTATCGTAGTAATTTGTTCCTTGTTCTTCCTCTTTTCCTTTGGCTTTGAGGATTCTGAACTAGGGCTTGCCTTGTGATGTAGTTGGGTGCTTTCCACAATGTGTGTGCTATCCATCTCCAGAGCTTTTGTCAAGATTTTTGTACCCTATTTTATTGTGTTAGTTTTAAGTCATGATTAAACTGGGTATATAATAGAAGCTAGTTACCTACTTCTCTTCGCATTCAAGGCAAAAGAGAGAGAAAGGTTCACAGAAAGCGGACTAATAAGAGCCTAGTTTGCATGAGCTCAAAGTTGTTAACGGTACAGGTTGGATATTCAATAAATCAAGTATGGGATACAAAGAAAAATAAGAAATGGTAGATACACAATCAGATTGGTGACTTTAACACTCGATAGAGAGCAGCTACCTCAGACTACACAATGATAAATCTAGTCACGTGCTTATGAACTGATTGGTATTTATCCAGTTGTTTATTACGTAATATGCGGTACAACTTGACAAAATGTGTGCATCACACAAGAGGAATACACTTAAAAAATATAGACGAACAGGGATAGTAATACAATAGGCATTAGAATACAGTTAATAAAATAAGAAAAAGTATTTTTTCCAGTTAAATGAGTTCCTTGCTCTTTTAAAAAGTAAAGTAAAAACCATAGCAGGATTATCAATTACTTCTATTCTAAGGAATGATTAATAATATTTTGAGCCAGTGAGATGCACTGGACGTCAGATAGAATTTAGGAATACCTAGAGATTCATAAGAAAACTACGACATTTCAAAAAATAAAGTCAGGGAAGAAAATACAAAGAAATAATAGACAGATAGAACCCTACTAATTGATAAATATGCTAAATGGACACTATACATGATTTCTTAGTTGCTTCTAATAACCACAGAGTAAATCTACACGGTGATATGAACACAAGTGTAAAGATGTGAAGTGCAGGAAGAACGCTTTACTCTGAGGTTGATTTATTTGCAAAAAATCAAGGGTATTTTGTACGTTTACGAATGAACTTGGGCGAGTGTACTGTGCAGCAGTTCGCTCCGTTCTCCTATATGGCTGTGAAACATGGCCAGTGAGAGTAGAAGATATTCGTATGTTACTGGTTTTCGATCATAGGTGTCTTCGAAGCATTGCTCGTATATCGTGGGACAACCGAGTGAGCGATGCTGTCGTTAGGAAACGAGTACTAGGCAAGGATGGCAGATCAATAGATGAAGTGGTGAAACTTCATCAGTTGAGGTGGTTGGGACATGTTCTGTGTGTGCCTAACCACCGACTGCCTCGACGAACTTTGTTTTGTAGTGTAGGAAAAGGCTGGAAGAAAGTTAGGGGCGGCCAAACCAAAACATGGCACAAATCCATGAAGTCATTGACGAATGGACTGAGCCATGTCGGTAATTGTCGACTACCTGGTTGGGGTCCGCGAGATGATTATAATTGATGGTTAGAGCTCTTGAATGACATGGCTCAAAATCGTTCGCAATGGCGCCGGTGCATTTATTCTTTGTGTTCTCTCAAACCCTAATCTTCTGAATTCTTCAACATCTCTAGTTTTGACTTTCTAAACTTATCTCACTGAATCATACTTCTTGAATAGTATCTTCTAACCCTAACCTCTCCGATTACTTCTAATTCCCTTACTACCTCTACTACTATTGGATTTGAATTGACAATTATATCTCTGTGCTGATGTGGTATGGCAACATGAACTGATGTACTTACGTACGAAGTTCTACGTTGCATCTGACTGACTGACTGAACTTGGGCTTTTGAAAGTTACCACAAGCATGTTAAATATAGTACGGGTATAATTAAATACCCAATCAAAATCATAGCAAGTGATCCTTCATTTTCTAGATGCGCCTAAGAGGGCACAGCTCAACGCTGATTGGTCAGAACATCCCCTATATATACTCTTCCATGAAATACTTTGAAGATCCAGAACACTGGTAAAAATCAGTCGAATTGTGTATTGATAGAAGCAGTAAGTAAAAAAATACTGTAACACCGACTATTTTGTAAACGTTTGACAGATTCCTGTTTTAATGAATTAAAGTTTGAAAAAATTTTACATTTTAATTTTTCTTTTTTAAAAACAAAGAGAAAATGTGATCACTTACTGTCTTTGAAATGTTTGAAATGTCTCTTTCTCTCTTAATTCTTGTAGTGGATCATTTCCATGTGCACGTTCTTTATCATAGACCATGTATGTTTCACCACGATCACGTGTACACAACCATATACTCAATGCCAACACAACGAGAAGAATAATTACACCGATTATTACAGCAGCAATCCATGCAAGACTAGCAGTTGCTGAAATAAAAAGGAAACAACAATAAACATGATAAAAAATCACAAGATATATTGAGCATAATCAATTAATCAACTAGGAATCAACGTAAGAAAAAAAAATAATTGATTGATCACTAAACTAAATAATCACCAGTCTAGTCTTTCTTGCTACCGATCAAAAGTTTTACTAATCCAGTTACAATGTACCTGACTATCGTTGAAGTAACTAGATATGACGTACACTACGTTGAAATGTTAAGCAGTAGTTGGAGCTGGACTGCAGTTCATTAGTAACATCTGTAGGATTTAATTTGTCCTACAGATGTAATTCTAGGACGGTAAACGCAATATTGGCAAACACAGAGTCTATGGGAAAGCTATAGTCAAAACAAGATCAACTTTTGCCTTAAACTTTATCTGTTTCTAAACATAGAAACAATTAGATTAGTACAATAAATAAGGAAGTTACAATTATCAAGTAAGACGGGAAAACGTACCGACCAATATAGCGTGTCTTATGGAAATGAGTAAAGTTATGAGTCACATCAACATAATAAGATAATAATGTCAATCAATTTGCAGGTCATTTACAACAGAAGATTTACAGACACGTCAGATCAGATCACGTGATGGGCGCTTAAAGCAAAATTTGATTGGTTAGTTATGACAGATGAAGTGTCGACAATATGTGATATGCCTGCTATGAGTCACCGTCTCTTTTATTTACGTATATTGAGTGGGAAAGTCGTAAAGTGTAGTTCAACCCTACCGGGTGTGAAGCATTGCGCATTAAAAACAATGGATGGGGCCGTGAGACCGTGAATTAATCGAAGTTAGAGAGTAACACCGCTGGATGCTGACTTAATGGTCAAGAGGTCAAGCATTCGCGCGCAAAACCGAAGGTTCTGGGTTCGTTTCCCACGAGCAGAGGTTGTGTATACGCACTGCTAACGAGTCCCATACTAGGATGAAGCGGCCGTTCAGTGCTTCTAGGTTTCTAATGGTAGTCTAATATTGGTCGATTCATAATTTCAAAGAAGCTATATTATTGTTAGGTGATATGATTCAATGTCAAATGTATACATAAAACTTATATTTACCTTTAATTTTTACCTATACATTTTTATTAAATATTGTCTCACTTCTTTTAATTGTACTATTTTTTTTCCTATATGTGATTTATCGATTTGCACCGATACAAGATTGAACTAAATGTATGTTATTGTATACTAAGTTTGTGGTCTGGTGTTTAAGTCTAGAACGGGATTTCAGGAGACCAGAAACAACTTTTCGTGAACTCGCATCGTTTGCATTAGCATTGGTCTCTCGTGCTGTTACTGGTATGAGGGTGATTGTCACTCCCCGGCTACGCACACCGTGAAAGGTTATTTCTTGAGACTTGAAAAGTAAGGTAGGTTAGCGTTGGTCTTAACGACCTGGGAGCGTGACCGCAGAGCCCAAGGAACAATTGCTTGAGGCCAGTCACGCACGGCCTTTTTATGAAAGGTTTTTTGAGGATTAGCTCCGCTCTTTAAAGCCCTTAGTGAGCACCCTTACCCAAGGAGACGGAAATCCGTGAGGTAGGGGAGGTGTGACATTTTTAGGGCCGACCCTTTCTAACCCTTCCTTCCTTGTGAGAAGGCAGCATCGCTGCACATGATGGCTGTCTGAGGGAAACACCTTACTGCTGTCACACCCCTCTACAGTCACCAGTACGACTTCACCCTCAGACCTTGGGTAGCTGCTTTTAGTCTCATCGTTCTCCAATCGACCTGCCTGGCATGGTAGAACCTTCAAGAAAATATGTTCCAGCCAATATAGCTCCATCGGGTCATCACGATAGACAAGCCCGACCACCACGTCAAGGTAGCGGCTTCGGTCGGGTGGTGTTTAAGTGATCGACCATGATCTTGATTTCAATCCCCAGTCGAGCTTTGTTTTCGCACTGCTGAAGGAGTTCCATATTAGAACAATACCACTTTTTACTGTTTATAACAGTTTATAATAGCATTCCAACTTAGGTAAATACGTAACATAACTGTTTGGTGAAGTTGTATTCTTATATGTCATCAGCATACATTAATAGTGATCGAATAAAAATGATTTTACTCCAAGTCAAATTATCAAGAAAAGCTGAAATAAATATGAAAGACTGGATTCGGTGTTTTTGCATTTCTTATTCTTATGACGTTTGAAAGATAGAAGATATATATACATCGAGATTTCGTGAATGAGGATACTGAATCTGGATAGTATAGTATAAACACTCAAATGCTCGACTCGTAGTCGCGTAGTAATAAGCTTGGAGACTTTTGACAAAAATTTGTTGTTTCATATGTTCTCATGTGACACTTAAATACTCAATGAAAAAGTAGTACCTAACAAGTACTTGAAGCATTATAATTTCCGACAAATATGCTAAACTTTACACTGAACAGACTCAATTCAACAAAACAGTGAGAATAATGACATCAAATGAAAGACAGACTAACCTACAAATGTTGTATAATGGATAATAATTAGTTGAGTCTAATCAGGATTACGTAATCGAACTAGGTCAAGTCGAATGAGTCATACAGAGCTTACATTCGACACTAAAGTTAAGGCGTTACTTACTCATTATGAATTGTGTCAATACCTTGTAAAAGCGGTTGATCATTAAGTAAAATCAATAAATAATCATCAAAATCATGCTGGTTAGATTAGGATAGGATGAAAAAAACTTCAAAATGATTTTATGACGATAAGATGAAAATACATGTTAGTGAATTCAATGATAGCTGATGACTCTAAGTAGTGTAAATTGAAAATTAATTCCACTGAGACCACAATATGTATGTTTATCAGCTGTATTAATGAATAGTGATAACACAATGGTAACTTGTTGCATTATTCTGTCAGGTTATTTGATTCAGTCAGTCAGGAACAACGTGGACCATAATAGCACAGAGAGATCGAATAGTGAACTCAAATCTCATAGTGGTACAGGTAGTAGCAGTATTAGTGAGAACAGAAAAAAGGTCAGGAGGAATTCAAAAGATTAGGATATGAGAGAAGACAAAGAATGGATGCACCCTATCCCATTGCAAGCGACTTTGGTGCATATCATTCTCTATAATCACAGGTTACGTTTGTCTTGTGGACACCAACCGGGTAATCTACGCCAAATAACATAATTCAGTTCAGTTGTCATTTTCTTCATAGATTGGTGCCATGTTTTGGTTTGACCTACCGTAGCTTTCTTCCGGCTTACCCCTACATCAAAAAACATAGCTCGTCGAGGCAGTCGGTGGTTAGACATACATAATACATGTCCCAACCACCTCAACTGACGAAGATTCACTACTTCATCAATTGATCAGCCATACTTACCTAGTAACATTTTCCAAACCTCATCATTGCTTACTTAGTGGCCCTAGGATATTCGAGCAATGCTTCGGAGACACTTATGATCGAATACAAGTAACCTACGAATATCTACTATGTATGTACATAGAAAGAATTAAAAGAAGAGTACCGATCTGAAAGTTTTTATGAATATGCCTCTGGGTAGAAACCAGCCTTCATGTTTGATTACACAGGACACTTAATAGATAATGGATATTACAAAGGCCTATAAAAAAATTAATGATGAATCGCACTTCGCAAAGGTCACTGCAATCTAGTGCTATCAAGCCAATCTCTGTACATAAATAAAATGTATGGTAAACCCTACACTGCCATGGTAAATAACTATAAAAATATAACATTTTTCGATTACGTAATCTCACTATTTTATGTTATATTTAGTACAATCCACTGAAATTCACACATGACACGCATGGTTTGATTGTATGGTGACTCGCTTGTCATAAATTTTTTACTTTTTACTACTAATTGTGACTTATAACATTATATTACTTTTCGACATGGAAATATTATTAGCATAGATTTGTCGAGACTGTAAATTCCTCGTCATTCAAATAACAAACTGATCGTAAGCAGACCTCTTATACTAATAGTAATCATGTGCTCATTAGTAACTTACTTTACGATACAACTTCCACAGTAGTAGTGGCAAGTTACGACCAGTGGAGTTAAAACTAGGTCATATGGTAGACAATTATCAACTACAGGCAATGAATGACGGTCGCGGAATATAGTGAATTGATTAGATCTACACATTAACATCGTTGGACGTTGGTTTAATGATCTAGAGACTAAGTGTTTGCATACGAAACCGAAGGTTCTGGGTTTGATTCCCATGTGAGGAGTTATGGAAGCGCATTGCCTACAAGGAGTCACAATACTAGAATAAGACAGTCATCCAGTTGCATCCTAGTTTTCAACGGTAGTTTCATTAAGATTATTTCATGATCTAAACCATGAAAATCAATATTCTTATTGATCATAACTACCATGTTTTGTGTCGACTCCTTTGTATATGGTATTTTTTCCGATGTTGTATCAAAAATACAACTTCACTAATTAAAGTCCTTAAAAATTTTGTCTATAATAATCAAAATAACAATGATAATAATAATTGTAAATAGAAACCCTTTTGCAGCTGAAGGAAATTTTCAAAATATGAAATAGACTCATATTATTCTGCATATATCTTATCATCCCCACTATAACAAAACTTTGTAGACACTAGCTAGAACTCTGATTTGACCTGGATCCAGTGAATTGGTTTGAATAAGTTGGCTACTCTGTTCCAACCAGCATTGATATTAATGAATGAGTAATACTGATTAATACTATGGATATTTTATCAATGACTTATGTCAATGACGAGTTTCTTTTGTGGATTAATTGGAAAGTGTTTTTTAAAGGTAACTTTGAATACATAAAGTAGACAGATAAAATAATTTAATCGTGACTCTATTTTAAACATATAATTAAGTTTATCGTAAATAAGAAAAAGTGGTATACCACCTATAACGAAGGCTTTCATTCATCAAGGATAAACGAGAATTATAATGATTCTGTATTTCATTCACAAATTAAAAACTCGATAAGTCAGCTCAAGATTATGTCATTCATTATGATTGGATTATGATCTATCAATGACTACACATATAACAAGAAATATCCTAAGATCATTTGTTAACTATCAATTAACATATCAACATTTAAAAGACTGTGATAGAAAATTATGAATTATCAAAAATATTCAATGAAACATGTATAAAAAAGTATTTCTTGATTTCAGTGTACAGAGATGGGTTATGTAATAATTCCGAAGCGAAAAAAAATACTGATTCGATTGTCAAAAAAAAGTAGATTTTACACTTGAAAAGATTTAATTCATAAATCAAAATCTAGATAGATAATTTGATGATTTTAATGTTATAATTTGTTTTACACATTTAAATCCAAAGACAGCTAGAGCACTTCACGAATTGTTTGGTTGATATCAACTTCAGAGAAGACTAAGAAGTTAATTATTAAAATCATTAACTGATCAATATTAAACCATCATTGACAACCTGAAAACATTGAATGGCCGTATCGTCCTATCTCCTACCTGACACGGTTTGAACTCCACTGGTCATAGATTTCTCACTAAATCTTCAAGAATTCATCATGAAGCTAGCCATTAGTAATGGAGAGGATTTGTGGAGATCAGTACGTGATCTCAACTATGAAACTAATAAAATCTTCACAAATCTCCTTCATTCATACATGAAATCACCAGAAAAAGAAAACAAAATAATAATTGATCACGAAAAACTTACCAGGTACTATATCAGGAGTAAATGTACGAATAGCGGTTAGTTGTTTCGCCAGTTCAGTGCCTGTTTCCCATCGTGAATCATATATTAAACGATTTGTACCAGAAGAGTGTATAGACGGAGCTTGACGAGCAATGGAGTGATATGATACTAATCCATTTGGTGTTTCAAATTCAGCTTCATTTCCGAAAACTGATAAACGTATCCAGCAACTTAAAATTAAATCTTTCGGTGGTTGAGCTTCAGATCCACCAATTTTTTGTGTAAGAAATTGTCTTAGTGTTGTTGTACTGGGCATTTGAACTGGTTCATATTTATTGTCCGAATTCATTACCTCCTTCTCAACTGTTTCTTTTTCCTCCTCTATTCCATCTGCTACTACTATTTCTTCTCCTTCTTCTGGTTGTTTATTGTTGTTGTCTTCATGTTTTACAATAATCGGAGCTGGTTTACCTAATGGCCAAACTGTTAGAGTTTTCTGATACAAATAAAACAATGAAATAATAATTAATTAAAAAAATAAATAACAGAATTGAGTGTAACATTTCATTATTATGCAAACAATATAGAAGTTGATTATGTGAAATTCCAAATAACACAGTGGTGTTACAGTTAATTTCAACATCTACCATACATGTTATTGTTAGTCAATATTTGCAATAATGTTTTCAAGTAGATCTAAGCATATGGTTATTGATTTGAACGATTCACAGAATCATCTTTGTTTTTATTTAATACACATCTTGTTTCCCAATTAGTTGTACAACGATTTATATATGCACCATACGAAGGAGTTAGTATTAAAAAAAAGAAATAAAAGAGGGGAGGTTAAGACAGTCAGAAAATAAACTAACAAGACTGACATATACCGGCAATACAGTTCAGATAATCAGTCAGTCTATTACCGGTATGAGGGCGGATGTCACTTCCCGGCTGTTCACACTGTAGAAGGGTGTTTCTTGAGGAACCTGAAAAGCAAGGTAGGTTAGTGAGGTGTGACATTTTTAAAGTCGAGCATTTCTAACCCTTCCTTGTGAGAAGGCGGCATCGCTGCACATGCTGCTTGTCTGAGGGAAACACCTTACTGCTGTCACACCCCCTCTACAGCCAGCAACATGACTTTGCCCTCAGACCTTGAGTAGCTGCTTTTAGTATCATCGTTCTCCAATCGACCTGTCTGGCATGGTAGAACCTTCAGGAACATATGTTCCATCCGATATAGCTTCGTCGGGTCATCACGATAGTCAAGCCAAACCACCACGTCAAGGTAGCAGCTACGGTTGGGACAGTTCAGATAAAAATGTAACTAATAGTTTCCTCCAATCAAGAAACCTACTGACTGGAATCCTAACCCGAGTCGTGACGGACTGACGAATGACAGTTCTACACGGTTTTGTTTCATATCAGGGTGAACTAAAAGATTATTTTAAGACAGTTCAAAACATGGTATATTTTATAGGCTACAGTTGATTATATTGAGTGGTTTCAAGTTGATGTGCATGGCAGAAATATTGGAATCAAAATTTGGAATATTAATTTTCTTTTTAATTCTTACATTACTATTTTAGCTCATTTAATGGCTTTTTTCCTTAGTTACGTTTATTTAAATTGTAACTTTGACAGAAGTACCGTATGAACTAGTTTGCCATAAGATTGTGTTATGGGTTGTTAAACAGACAACGAAAACAACTGATAACATACTAGTTAACCGTCTCCAAATGTCTTGGTCCGACGGAGAGTGGGAGGAACCTGTTCTCCCTTTCGCGAAATGCATTCATATGGCTACACACATATAATTTCTTATCTAAGAAAACAACCTACTTCAGCTTCGGCTCCCGAATAGTATCGCAGCCGACGCAAATTTAATGACTTGTGTGGAGCGTAAATTTCTAGGTTCTCCTTGGTACCAATAATCGTTTCAATGATAAATAATAATGGTTAATAGATAAAGAATTAGTACATCCATTTACAGAAGCCTAGTCATTTTTACGTTTACTCGGTAAGATGAATTTTAACAAGAATTTCTCCCACAGTATCAATTAAATATTACTAGGCCTTGGATATGAAATGCTTCAGTGCCATTATAGATCTTATCGGATGTATGTTTGTTGGAAAATAATTCCAGTTAAAGAAATGGATACTTAAATTACCAGGCGGTTTATTGGTACTCAAAATAATCTAATGTTTCTTAAACCACGAAACGAGACACTACAATTAGCTTAACATATCGTTGTTCTGTCCGTGTTTTGACAATGCATTTTATGAAATTTGATTTCGACGGACAGGTATAGATGCTGAACCACGAAGAAGATTTGCAATGTGAGGAGAACTAACCAACATACTCGCCTAGTACAATTATGTATTGATAAATATCAAACCAATAGCAAATAAACAGGAACACTGAATTCTGAACGACCATTATGCTAGACTGCACGAAAAAGGATAGCCTTTGAAAATTCCTGATATTTTTAGATTTGTTTGTATCTCAACCATCGTGTAGGAAAACCATGCAAATTATCACGTAAACAGTGGTGTAAACATACATATACACAACTAACGTACAATGTGTTTGATAATATTAATGTGAATATTTTTTGGTAAAAAAGGGAAAAGGGAAAAGTGAAAATACAATGGTGACATAGTGACATTTTTTTATTGATTATCTGATAAGTTGTGTTATCTTAATCAAAGATCCTGTACATAAATGGATTGATTCCTTATTTTCTTAATATATGTTCAGTTTTGCACTAGGAAATTCAATTCCATTTAAGAAATATGTGGTAATTTCGCTTTGTAGATGGTTAGTAAATCATTTAGAGTCAAAAATGAGCGGTGAAACTAGTGCGAAAAGCCAAAATATTATTCACTAATACAAATTGAACTTACACCATGTCCACCATTAAGAGTGATGAATTGTCCTAAACCACTAGATTCCAAGTGTGTTTTAGTCCAATGATTTTGAATAATCCAATCAATCGATGGTTCAATACTGAACTTTGATTTCCATTCTTGTACGAGATCTTCATCCAGTGCACAAGAAACGTTGAATGGAGTTTCATCACATTCTTTTATACAATTTTCGTCGGAAGGTGATATTGTAAGTTGAGGTTTAGCTAAAATATTTTAAGCAATATTGTTTGAAAAGTCCAATTTGTAAAATGTTATCATACTATATTGTTATATAGATACAGGCGAAAAAAATATCAAGTGTTTAAAGTGATTAATTAACTTCCAGCTCTAAGACGAATATGATTGATAGGGAGAACCATTTCTAGAAGTTAACTCTGCCGTTGGAAAACTTTCAATTTTCCCAATCTCCAATATTTTGCACCTTCAACACCGAAGCCTAAATAGGTTGTCGAGCAGAATCTATACAATTAGCTGACTTAGAACAAGTTATTTCTTATGAGACGAAGTAAAATGCATCGCTTGGGAAATTATTTCCAGTGTTATGAATTAATTGACTTATCTTTAGTGTGAAATTCTATGTTGAATTAACATGACTGTCTATAATACTTCAGTTAAGTGATAATCAATTTAGTTTAGGGACTGGTATGAAGGCGGCAGAGACAGACTGGAAAAATCTCAACCTCAGTTAATGGTTAGTTGAAAGTTACCATTACAATGAGGACGAGATCGAGAAAGCAATCGCTAGGAATTGAGAATATAGGATCTGGTGCAAACATGTACCGGTTGAAGCTATAACATCTCAAAGCCTAGTGAAGGATAAGACATTAGTGGTGTAGACACTAAGGAAACTAAATCAGCTTTGTTAATCGTAGTCGAAAACTGACTAGAGTTAACATATGTTGACAAGAAAAAGTAGAAGAGAGTGACAAGTATCGTAACTCATGCAAATACGTCTACGTCATTGCCAACGAATTACAGTCGTCTCGATTAAGGTCACCAGCCACAGATTATGAATATCATACTAACTCAAAGCCGGAAGAGCATATCTTGAAATGCCTTATACTAAAATTCAACGGCCTCGTTAACAGATAATGTTGCAATATGATTATGTTTAGCCTTTTACTAAGGTACATTGTTATTCTGAATAGCATGGGGTAAGCAGCGCTTAGGCATATAGAACATGCTTCGTCCACTTTAATCGATAAAGGTCCATTAGATCAGAGATGCTCAAAATGAAAAAATTAACTTATGGTCGTTGTACACTATGATGGGAAAGTTTATTCGAAACGCTAGGTAGTATTTACAATCGCAACTATATATATATATATATAAATAATTCGTAGTTCAACCAGTTTAGGCAATTTTATACAGTTACACGTGAACCACTGTGAGGGTTACCATCAATTATGAAACAGTATTAAAAATGGTTTACCACTCGTCGTTTGTGATGACGGGAATACCTAGTCCTAAGAAAAAAATTGGCCTTCTCCGTTTTTGTAATTATATACAAACATCTTGCGCTCAAAAGACCAGCCACTTTACCAAAAACAGACGAGTTTGGAAAATATAAAAACCTAACTTACGGACAACTCTCAGTGACGTTGATATGCGTGACTGACCGTATGCAGATTGCAAACGAATAGATAATTCGCAGTCCTGATTAAGTTTCAGTTTCGTGATGTTGACTGTTATTCTTTTATTCATGTCCTCTCCATCTACATGAAAAGTAATATCTAACTGGGAGAGTTGCTGCTTTATAAACTTGAGATTCTTATCAAGAGACGTGCGGAGTTCCTGATCCGTGGATGCTTCGAACGACGCTATACTGATATATACAACTGTATCCCACCTACCATCAAACTCACAAACAGAGCCAAAGTTACTTCCCTCCATAACGTAAAACAGTCCTTTCAAACATCGTGGATCTTTGAAGATCGGGGGTGAAACAACTTTAACATCATATGTAAATATTAATCTATCGGAAATATCTTCATTTGATTTCACAACAAGCGAATATACTCCAGATAATGATTCATCTATAAGACCAGGAAGTGTATAACTGTATTTGGTTGCAATACTGCTGTGCAACATCTGCTCATCTTTGAACCAATGGAATTCGTAGTCACCCTGAGGTTGTCGATACAAAGCCTTAAGCATGAAATCCTGAAGCTTAGCACCTTTATTTAGGATATAGCTCGATGACAGCGACGTTAAAGGATACAGTTTAGTAGTAGTGGAATTTTCGATTGAAAGACCTTCAAGGATCACAGGGGACTCAGTACTCGTAACTTTCCTGGCAAACGTCCTAATAGGTGCAATTCTTCCGACAGGTTTGCATACAATGGCTATAGACTTCGACTTAAGCAGGTGTGCGTCGGTTAGGTACACACTTCCATTCATAAATTCGATGATAGAATTCGGAGGAAACTGAACTTGCCTTTCCGAACAAGTTATAGCAGTCGGTTTTCCTGTAGTCAGACAATATCCCCATCTGTATGGTCCATATCTGCTATCTAGTTGATGCATCCAGTAGGGCCAGCGGGATATAGTGCTGATATCATTTACACACTTTAATTCATAAGGGAATTCTGATATTGGTGGAACAACATCTATGTTTGTAGAAGGAGTACCTGTAAGCTGAAGAATGTGATAAACAGCATCTCGTATTTCTATTTCATTTGATTCAATAACATTGAGTTCATCTGCACCCACAACACATGAAAAAAGTCCACTGATGGGATTACTTAAGGGACTATCTTGTGTCAAAGAAATCGAAAAATCCGCTCCAGTCAAACCGTTGTCGCTGAAATGGAACTCAGTATTTAGACAGGAAAATAGACCTCCAGCCTTTGGTTGAACACAAGTACGTATTTTGTCTTCTACGCTACTGCGGCAGCACAACATAATCTTATCCAGAGGTTTCGCTTGCCTGTTGACACGACAAGCGAACGTTAACTTAAGACTAGCCGGTGGAGTTCTTTGAGCGAAATATACTGTTCTTTGAGTACTTGCTGAAGCATCCAGAATAGCTGTTGGATTAGCATTATTGAGAAAAACCAGTGATTCTTCTGAAGCCCCACTTATTTTTTCAAACTTCAGGTAACTGACTGATAAACCTTGAAAGGAATTAACTAAAGAATAAAAATGTGACTTACTTGGGGATAAAAATACAAATAACACGAGCAGGCAGAGCACCATCCCTTCTCTGCAAAGGAGCGACATCGAAGAAACAAATTTGTAGGAACGCCAAGGATCAATGTCACATCACAGAGTGGAAAAACCATTCAATATCCAATATCCAATATTCACGAGCTAGTGTAAACCAACTGATTCATTTGCGCTCGATTTTTGTTCTTTCGGTACGGTTCCAGGTGTGGGTCTAACCACTCGACTGTCTAATTCTAGTCAGTTGGCAGTTGGTAGTGAGTTTGTTTTTCCCCTGATTTCAATGGCAACGTTCGTTTCAGGGCAGTAGGGTTTCTGTAAACCAGAAGTTATCATATTGCCAGACCAAAGATCAGTTAGTTGCAATGTGGAGAATAATAAGGATAACAAAGATAAGATTATAATTCTAAGATGAATAAAATTTCAGAACTAAGTAATATATAGATTCTTTAGTTTATTAATTGGTAGTGTAGATTGTGAGAGAGGACCGAAGTGTAAGCAAGGGAGAGGAAACAGAGATAATAGGCGAGATAGATTTATTGAGTGATCTGAGGAGATGGCAATGGTAACAACTAGTATGTCTCAAGACATGCAACATGAACAGCATGTCCATGAGGGAGATGATAATCCGTATGTGAGTACGTGTTCACCTCGGATGGGAGAGCATTCCAAGTTGTGACGACTCGCAATGAGAAACAGTGTGCACGAACCCGAGTATTCGCTCTTTGATGTGCAATCTTTCGAGGATTGCGTTGAGGGGAGTGGTGGTGATGCATCGGTAAGTTGATCACAGTGGGATGGTTAGGCGTGCGCCATATTTAAGACCACCGTTGATTCTCCTGTAACTCAGTGGGAAGAATCACAAGTGCTGGAGTTTATCTTCGTCAGGAGTATTTTTCAACCATATCAACCATCTGGTTGCTCGTCTCTGCACTCGATCGAAAAGATTTATGTTTCTCATAAGCATAGGGTGTGCAATGACGTTGTGAACCCCAAGGTGTGGGCGCGCGCACGTCTTAAACAGGGTTAAAAATAATTTCGGGCTGATAGCACCAAGCTGTCTTCGCATAAAGTGAAGAGTCGCATTTGCCTTGGCTTCATCCCCAACATAGTTTGGACTGGTGTGGAGGCTTTATGTGGTTATTAAACCAAGATCGCGCTCTGAGGAGACATTAAGGGCGGACCTCCATAGAGGGTATAGATCGTTTGTGTCGTGTGATGCAGAATATGCATGACTTGACATTTCGGTTAGTTTAGTTTTAGACCGCTTTTCACTGCCCATTTGTCGATAGATATACGGTCTTTTGCAAGCTCAGTCGAATCCACTTCGCTTCTAATGGACCTCCAGATCTTCGCATCGTCTGCGTGGATCATGCCGGTTTGCTAACTGAGCCTAATATGTCGTTAAGAAATATCAGAAGGAGAGGTCGGCCTAAGATTTTCCCCTGTGAAACTCCCGATGTGGATACTCGCCAGCACGCGAGCACCCTATTTACCTTGGTACGAAACTTTATATTCTCGAAGTAGTTTTTTTAGCCAAGATACGAGTGGGTCAGTGAAGACCATTTTCACAACCTTTGCGATTAGGCGTGCGCGGGGTACTGTGTCAAAAGCTTTTGCAAAGTCGAGAAATATTACGTGCACCGGTATTTTACAGTCCAAACAGGATGTCACACTAAAAGTCGAACTGAGTTTATGAGTATGAGACTTCGTAAGTTACATACCATAATAAAATTGATCCTTAACCATCTCTGAGGATAATAGTGCAGAATTTCCGAAACCAATATTTTTTTCTAGAAATTAGTGATTTGAGTATAAACGTCACGTGGGATAAGTAATGTTCTGATTCAGGTTAGGATGGTGAGGGCATATGGTTTATTAACGTGTTTAGCTTCCTCTGGTAAGCTCAAGAGAGTCTCGAGTTCGCTTCTGAACGAGTCAGCTGAAAGTTCTGAAACCACTACTTTGGTTAGCAGTTTCTATGTTCTTGTGACGCCGTGAAAAGCCTGCTAGATCTTCCAATTACAGCCCTAGAATGTAGGTGGGCTTTTTCCTATTTCTGTTGTTAATTAGAATGTTGATCAACACATAATATATAGAGTAGGGTCTATACCCAACGCAGATCCTAACATATATTCGACGAACTTGTAGTGGTATACTTTTTCGAAGAAAACACAATTGCTGAAATGGAAACATTTATTATTGTACTTAATTCTAACAATAATTGTTCGATTATACTCCTTTGTTTTATCTGTACTAAAGACTATCTTTCGCGCGCCAACCATAGCCTTCCGATTCCGCATTTCTCCTCGGTGGTTGTTAGCTGCTTCTTTATTCCGGTCTTGATAATATTTCGAGATCACGAGACCACGGACAAATACACCTCTTCATCCAGTTATTTTCTTCTTTCTGATTTCTAGGTCTATCGGGATTTACCTCGGTAATCTCGCAAATAATGGTTTAATCTCACTATAATTGGTGAGCGACGACAACGAACACGCATAAACTACGTTCAGTCTGTCCACTTTTCTTACTATTTTGACTGTCGTATAATATATATCGATATTTTCTTATATATATATATATATATATATATATATATATATATATATATATATATATATATGTACATATATATTATAACTACAACAGCGTTTGAAAGTTGGGTAGACCCAAAAATGACGATAGCCCAGCAGACTTCCGACTTGTCGCTTTTATTCCACAGGACCCAGAGGACTGGTTCGCAGTAATGGTATCACAAATTAGAGTCCGCCCCGTCGCGAACCAGCGGCAAATGTTTGCCTGTGCCCTGGAGTCTTTACCTGGGGACTATATAGCCGTTGTCCGAGAAATTGTTCTCAATCCTACCATGCCTGATGTCTACGATTGTCTTAAACAGGAGATTCTCAGATATTCCCTCATATCTAGGGAGGAACGGTTGAGAACATTATTAGCACTTCACTCTCTAAGTGATGCTCGACCAAGCCACCACCTCACGCGCCTGCAGTCCTTGGCAGGACCTACGACAGCCGACTCTGATATGGTTAGCTAACTGTGGATAGAGTCACTACCTGCTCACGTGCAGCCTACGATCACGGCTCTGCTCGAGGACATGCCACTTAACTAGGCTGCCCTCGTAGCAGAAAAAATGTCAGCGCGGATTAGCTCGCGAGACAACTACATAGTTGCCCCCTCATCACACACAAAAATTTTGACCTCGTCGCTGGTCACCTTCATGCTCAAGGAGATCGGGGTTGCTTCAATCACGGCCGTCCTAAGTATCGAGATCGTTTTTTTATTCCAGAACCCCTCATCTCCCGAGCCCGCTCTCGGTCATGAAAGTCTGCAAGTACTCGCCCCAAGAAGGCATCTTCGAAGTCACGCCAAAATGCGGCTTTGGGAGCGAGTACCTACTGGCGCCTATCATTGTCGAGCCCCTTGCTCATACAAGGCAGGGAACTTCCGATCCGACAAGTAAACGCTGCCGTACTCGTCGGCCCCTCACCTCAGGTTGGCTTCCTATTTCACGTGCACGATATCCGCACTAACGCCTGATATCTAGTTGACACAGGTGCCTAAGTTTATGTCTTACCACTTGGTAGCAGTGAGTCTCGACCTATGATGCTTCGACTACGCGCTGTGAATGGCTCTGTCATTCCTACCTATGGTACACGACAACTGACGGTCAACCTAATCAACCAACGACAGTATCTGTGGACTTTCATCATTGCCGATGTTCCCACAGCTAGACTCAGTATCGATTTCCCACATCACTATGAATCGCTCGTCGATTCACGTAGGCTGAAGCTTATCGATACTTCGTCGAACAGCAAATCTATGGGCTTTCGAGTTCAAACAGGTGTGTGCCTTATTACAGAGGTGTTTCATTCGCGTGATGACATTTTCCACGCTTTGCTCGAAAACTTTCCCCAGACAACTTAACCACTAGAGGAGAATCTATCGGTGACTCATCATGTGGCACACCACGTCGTCACCCGCGGACCACCAGTCACGGCACGACCTCGCGGACTGGCACCGGACAAATTAGCTTTCGCTAAACATGAGCTTGACAATTTACTAGCTACAGGTATTATTCGTCCTTCTCACAGATCTTGGGTCTCACCACTCCACATGGTGGGATAAGTTGGCGACCATGTGGCGACTACCGAGCATTAAACGTAATGAGACGTTTCGAGAGCTATCCTATTCCCCACATACACGACATCACGGAATCACTCACGGACACAACTACATATTCTAAGATTGATCTGGTACGAGCATATTATCAGATCCCAGCCACTTTCGAAGATATCGAGAAAACTGCTATCACGACCCCTTTCGGTCTGTTTGAGTTGCTACGAATGCCATTTAAATTACGGAATGCTGCCCATAATTTCCAAAGGTTTATCGATATTAAAATACGAGACATTGATTTTGTTCACGTCTATATTGATGACCGGTTAATCCATTCATCAAACATGAATGAACATTATCAACATCTTACGCTCTTATTCCAACGCATTTCGGATAAAGGAATAGTAGTTAACCCAGAAAAGTGTGAACTGGGAAAGGCAGAAATAAAATTCTTGGGTCACATCAACAAGCATGAGGGTATTCTGCCTTGTGAAGATGAAGTATGTACAAGCATAGAGTGTAGATGGACTTTCTACCGTAGCAGTTCAAATTGTTTCCAGTAAGTGCAAATCGAACGCGCTATCTCCCAACCCAATGTCAAAAACACAATAATTCTAGGAGAAAGCGGTCTATATTATATTAAAAATAGAAATACAAATCAATACCTGAATTTTGATGCACTTTCCAAGTCCCAATTACTCTCAGGAGTATCCGAATTAAAAGGAATAAGTGAGGTTAGATCCAACCGCCACAGTATCAATCCAAATATGGCTGTAGCCATATTAAAGATCAAATTTAAACAACATATATACAGTTCAGAAGCAAACATAAAAACTTCAATATAAGTACAAAATATAGAAATAGTAACAATATACAATATACAATATATAAGATCTCAA